TCCTCGACCGGTGAACAACAAAGGCGGCGTTGACGTGGGCGACAGCGCCGGTGACCAAGTCGACAGTAGTGCGGGAGGCACGTTGAGGCAGAGAGGAGTGATACACGCCGATGAAATCGGCAGAGGTCGAGCGCGATGACAACAGTCGTCGGCAGCTGCAAGCTCCTCGCAGGGCGACATCGGAGGACGTCGAAGCAGTATGACGCCAGCGTCGACGACCCACGTGACCGCACGAGGGATTGCGCCGACCTACAGGTACTTCAAGTTCACGCCGGACAAGATCTCCGTCACGGTGCCGCTCGTCGGTCGACGCGACCTCCTCACGTGGAAGGAATCCATCGAGCCCCAGCTGGAGATGGCCGGGCTGATGTGCTTCGCCGACGGCACCGTGGAGACGCCGCCTGAGAGCAACGCCGAGCTGCGCGCGGAGTTTTGTGCCGTGCACTTGCTGACCTTCATGGTCATCTCGCGGTGCTGCTCGCCGGTGGTACAAATCGCCTTGAAGTCTTGCTAGAGTCACCTGGACTCTGGCCGCCAGGCGTGGCAGTTCATCACGTCCACGTATTAGGTCACCGACGACCTGTACATCGGCTAGTTGGAGGAGCAGGTGACGCATCTGCGGATGGGTGAGCAGGAGACAGCGACCGATTACTGCAACTGAGCTCGACGTCTCCTTGCCAACATGCATCACCTACTCGACAGTGTCGTACATCACGCACGTCATCAAGGGGCTCCCGAGCAGTTGCAATCTGATGAAACGCCTGTCGGTGGTGCCGTGCACACGGGAGTCGCTCAACGAGGACTCGCTGACCTCATTCATCCTAAGGGACGAGGCAATGCAGGAGGCAGAACGGCCCAGGAGCTCCTTTCGCAGGCAAGTTACGTTGCACCAACCAAGCAGAATAGCCGGCAAGGGCAACGCGGTAAGCCGGGCGAAGGTGGTAGCGGAGGTGGATGATCGACGAAGGACGTCGACGAGAAGAAGTCGATGCGGGAGAAGGGCAGTGGAGGCGGTGGTCGACGGTGGGAGTGTTGGGTCTGTGGTGACCCCGACCATCTCTCCTTCGAGTGCCCAAACCGCGACGACAACGACGAGGACGACATCAAGGGAGACCGCGGACGGACGACCGGTCGTCGCCCCCGTCGAGATCAGAAGCCGCGCAAGGAGAAGTAGACGTCAAAGAAGACGACGTCGACGAAGGGCATCGACCACTCCAGCGGCAAGGGTCGATGCGACGGGGAGGCGTCGTGCTCAATGGTCGGCGTGTTGGAGCCGACAGTCTCGCTCGCAGGTAATCACTCAGAATCTCCGCTAATGATTCATATTCGAATGCTCTCTCTTTTCCATTATGTTTTCTGTAATGCGTCCATCGTTCTCGTTGTCTCCCATTACTACCCCCCTAGCCCTTACTAGGTTTCTCCTACCTGTCGTTGTCGTTGTCTCCCTGTCCCTCTCCTAGCGTATCCCCATGCCACATGCTGATGTTGCTCGTAAGAAAATCTTAGAAACTAGCGGGGAGAAGGAGCATCTCCCCATAGCCTAGTTATTCTAATGGAAAAACTTATAAAGAGCATGTGTTTAGATCCATCAGCATGAATCGTGCTGTGAAGTCTTGTTTTTTCGTCGTTCTTGTTCTTTCTTCCCTTTGTCTCATATGTCCTGCCGTTTCACTTCCAATTGACTCATCCATAAAAGTCAGCTCTTCAGTTCTCACGGCCCGGTTTTCTCTTCAAATACATGCGATATTTTCCACCCTGTTTTCCACTACTCATACTTCACCTTGTTACCACATGGCAAGTAGCTTCATTTCCCTATGCATCGCATTGTAATGTCACGTGTTGTTTCCTTATCGACCCATGTTCTGCCCTCATATCCTCCTGTCTTCTCTTGCCTGTTCACGTGATTTTACATTTCTCTCTTTCAGGCGATTCTGAATTTCATGTTGGATCAGATGTCTGGGCTTCAGATGCTACCGTGTAAAGTTTCAGCACAGCACGCATCACGCAACAACGCTGAGAGGAGGAGTGACTTTGGATGAGGCAGCAGTTGTGCCATCCCCAGCACCTAGGCATGTGGAGATTGACGTTGACGAGGAGCTTAGGATGCGCCAAGGGGCTTGCAGAACTGTTTGGCAGGTGAGTGCAAGAATGGTAACGTCACCTGCTAGATAAATGGATAGAAGGAAGGATTATGCCTCTAAACCTTTGCCGGTACTGTTGCTACTGCTGGTTCCTACTGGTGCTTGGTCAAACGTTTACCTTCCCCCCTTTTTCCATCATTTGCAGAGGATCCACTCGACGGCGACATTGGATCTGAAGGGACTGCCTTACCTCTCAGAAGCCATCCTTTGCCATGTGTCAACCATGGCTCACCTGAAGCACATTGCTCTCGATGGGTCTACACCGTTCAGTCCTAGAGGGATTTAAGGACCTCTACTTGATGCAGCCAGAGAGCTTAGAGGTGACTAGCCATGCTGTAACAGACTCTGCTTGGAAGGCATTGGAGCTGCAAGCAGCCTTAAGTCCCTCTATCTAAATGGGACCCGAGTGACTGGTACTGGTTTGCAGTTTCTGCCACATTTGAGAAGGCTCAAAGTGCTTGTTCTTCTGAGCATGACCAATGATGCTGGTCTGGAGCATATCCAGCAGCATCTAACTGCTTTGGAAGGATTGGATGTGTCAGATTCTGTCGTCACAGAAAATGGGGTGACATTGCTGCAGATTTTACCTCGTTTGAGGCTTGTTAGAACGGAAGGTCACAACTTGCATGCTCTGATACTGAGAAATCTTCCTGGAGTGGAAGTTGATACAGTTGCTCTTTGTGATATGCATATTAACATATAAACTTACGGTAGTACCGAATCTTGTAGCCACTTATTTTCTGAAACTACTCATCCTATCCCCCATCTGTCAAATCATATCAATATGCTGTTAGAGAGTACAGCTACGATGAGTTTCTCTTTAGAGAATACAAACTATAAGGTGGAATGAAAATGTGTAGGCTGCGCACTCCTAGAAACGACAAAAATTGCGTTTCAAAGAAAGTCTGCCAGCGTCGGCTAACAGTCTGCCAGCATGGATTGGCAGGCTGCCAGTTCGAGTGGCCACTTTCTGTCCATCAGCATCGATCTTTCTGTTCGTTTCTGATTTTTGTTTCGTCGTCAACTTACGTCGGTTGTTGCTGAAGTCGTCAGCATCGATCTTTCTGTTTCTAGTCGCACGCCTCGCGAACTCTAGGGTTCTTTGGTCGTCGTCATGCACTGTCCGTCTTGCCAAAGACCCGCCTTCACATGCTCGTTCTGCAGCGTTCAACGTCCTTACGAAATAAGTACCTGCAGATTCATCTGAACACTCAGTTCCAACAGCAGCCGGCGGCGGTCCGACGAGACGTACCTCTACTATTGAGGTTGCCCCTTGACTAGGCACTCAATACTGCCAAACGAATTGGCATGCCTTTGTCATCGTCCTCAACAGTCAAGCTGAACCAAGCTGACGTGGCTCCACGGTACGGATGGGCTTTTCTCCCGTACAGTAAGAGCTCTCTTCTCAGAGACCGTTAGAACGAGCGAATTCGAGTCGGGCCCGACTCGAAAATGCGCGCTGCGTTGATTTTTAACCCTTTTGCTTTCTTGATTCGGATTCCAGCCAGACACGACATGCTCCTTCGTTGCTGGCGGCAGTTCAGACCTACTAGTGCAGTCGTAGATTCAAGTGTGATCGCCATCCTCGGTCGCTCTGACCAAACACTCCTTTTTTTAGAGTTGCGCATCAAACATGGAAAAACGCGGCGCTTCAAGCGGTTTCGCCACTGCCAGTGGAAGTGCCGCCGGAGCGACATCATCGTTGCTGCTGGTTTTGTTCGCCGCGGTGCTTCTGGGAGCACCCTCTCAGACTGAAGCACCTCGGCATCCTGACGAGGACGCACCGCATGGCCCCCTGACACAACCCCGCGGATGCTACAAGAAATGCAACAATCTTAAATTGGGGTACTATATTCGACCTGACAAGGCGGACAAAGACACAAGAGCGTCGGGACCGCAATTCATTCTCGGGAACTACAACTATGAGCGCTACGTTCTCGACCCTGCGGTCGCGGATGTCGTTGCTTCCGCGAAGACATCCTGGGTAAACATATATCCCAACGTTGCTACCACTAGGTTTCCGCCCCCGTATGCTGTCATACTAACTGACTCAGTACCAAATTCGCAACGTTCTTTATGTTTCTTTGGTCTGAGCTGCCACGGGCGGCACATCATTGTTGCAAGCCAGGCTTCATATGCTGGCATAAACTGCGATTTCCCGTTTCTCTTCGTGGCAGCCAGGTACAACAGTATATCTGGAATGCTGCCAGCGCTGTGTCATGCAGGTTGGCTGCCGGTTCTGGCACGTGAAACCCTCAGTGAACGGCCAACCGTAAGCATCCCCACTGATATTCGTTACTCCTTGCGTCAAATCACAATCACGTCTGCGCTCCTGTCCAGGCCCGTACTGTTTTCCACACCGTCGTGTGGTGCTATTTTCATTCCCCTCAAAACTAGTATCTTCAAACCGCCTCACTTCCACCCCTCCTGCGGCCTAACTTCTTTATCCCCTCCGTGACACTGGCAAACAGTGGCCAATGCACGATGCTGGGCTCATTGGCAGGCATCACCGTGAGGAACTGGGACGTACAGATCCTACCAACGTTCCTGGGTGGAGAGTGCAACCCCCTTGCCAACACGAATGACGACCCGCATTTTCGGGGGGCAGATGGCACCCGCTACGACTTCAACGGCCTTCTTGATCGCTCCTTCTGCTTGCTTTCCGACCGTCGGATCCACATCAACATGGGAATCAAGGGCTACCAGCCAATCGCGAATCTTCCCGGCACGGCGACATCATTGGACGAAGAGTCGCTTGCTGCAGCGCTGGAAGCGGCGGCCAAAGAGAAGAAGCCACGTCATATCAGGCAGCTGGAGCAGGAGAGGCTGAGTGTGGCGGAACTGGGTGAGCTGGAGAGAATGCGGGCCAATGGGAGCCTGCCGTTGACTGCTGAGGTGGTGGCAGCACTTGAGCGGGAGATGGGTCGTCGCAGCGGGAGCGGAGGGGAAGAGGGGCATTACTCGGTTCAGTATGCGAAGCATAAGCTGAAAGCGAAGCTTCTCAAAGGAAAGACAATTCGCAGCTGGATCAGGTACGTTACACCGTGCTTGCCTATCATCTTGTGTTTTGTTTCCTGCAGGCGTAAACTATTCGGTGTTATTTTCCAAATCTCCTCTGTTATTCAAAATCGTTACGAGCTTCATGTTCAGCACTCCCATTGTTCTTTGTGCCTTCCAGAGAGCTCCAAGTGATGTGGCGCGACTCAACTGGCACACAGCATTCGGCGTTCTTCAAGGCGCGAGACGGCAAGGAGCAAGGGAGGGGCAGCAGCGGGTTCATCGACCGACTGGAGCTTGACGGCTCGCCGGTGGCCCCGCCTCTGTCCGCCGGCTCTTCCATCACCGGCAGCGGCGGGTTCAAGCTGCTTTTGGCGGAAACGCGGAGCTGCAAGGGGAAGGACCAAGACGATTTTATTCTCACGATCGACAGCCTGGTGGACATGGGCATCACGGCACGTTTGGCGCACCCACTCATGCAAACGGCTACGGAGGCCCAGGCGCATTTCAATGTGCACATCGCCCAGCTCAATGTGAGCAACACCTTTCTTTTTTCCCTTTCTTTTTGTTTGCCATGTGCTGTATGTGCTGTGCTCGCCTGCGTGCTGCGATGACCATTTGTGACTTTGATTATGGTGACTATCTGTCACATTGTCCCATGCACTCACCTTCCTTTCACCCAACTCCCTCCTCTGTCCCCCTCTTCTCGCCCCCTTTCTCCATCCTCCCCTCTACAGCACACGAGTGGCATTCACGGTGTGCTGGGTCAGACCTTCACCCATCTCCCCCCTTGCTGTCGTCCCCTCTTTCCCTCCCTTGAGCAGCACACAAGTGGCATTCACGGCGTGCTGGGTCAGACCTTCACCCATCTCCCCCCTTGCTGTCGTCCCCTCTTTCCCTCCATTGAGCAGCACACGAATGGCATTCATGGTGTGCTGGGTCAGACCTTCCGAGCGGAGGAGTCCCGCATGGTGCGCTCGCTGCGGTACCGCCTGCTGACCCGCCTGCTGCGCGAGCCGGTGGAGGTGGAGAGCGAGAGTGGCAGGGGATTCCTGGATGGGCGCACGGAGGACTATATCACCTCGGATATTCGCTCCGCGGACTGCATGTACGCCGCTGCATGGCGCAGGGGAGAACACGAGAATAGCGATGGAAGTGATTTTATGTGACAAGGGATTGTGACGCTGCACTGCAGAGTCTGCGCTTTTTTTTTTTTGAGTGGTTTTATGAGTTATTATCACCTTCTGCACTGGTCAGATGCGGTAGTACATGGATATATTAAATAATAGGTGTGCATAGTGGCATGATAGAAATTGAGATGTTAAATTGCTGTGTAAACCCAGTGTATGTTGGATTTCATGATTTGAAATGCTTTGCTCTCATTTCGCTACAAGATTAAGCCAACTCAATCAGGGCCCGGTTTGGCAGCCACGGAGGAGGACGGAAGAAAAATGTTCCCGTCTTCACCGAAGCTTCTTATCGCATTATCGAGGGCAAAACAGTGCGGGTTGTAGGGAAAAACTTTCGGAAATCGAAGCGCAGGTGTTTAGCAGCAGCGTCGCGAACACCACCTAAAATTGATTCCGCGCCGTCTTCTGTCCTTATTCTCCCCCCCTGGCGGAAAGCTTCCGCCATAGTGAGACGGAAGAAAAAAACGATTCTTCCAAAATACAAGAATCAACTTTTTGAATTGTGAAAGTGTACTTAGATCATCTTGCAAAGGCAGCGTTATCATTTCATATGGGTTCTAGTACATCGTTCTCGTCCTATATAGGTCTACGTAACAGCATACACAAATGGGTGGGCGGGTGGGAAATTAGAACTACAAACTGAGAAATGAAAACGTGGGTGGGGACGAATGTCCCCACGTCCCTCTTTTGTAGGCAAAAGAGGGCGAGTAGCGCTTCGGCGCTACCTTTGCTGTGCTGGCCACGTACCCCTTTTCACAATACAAAATTTTAGAAAGTGTTACATTTCATTACACTTTCAAAAATTATCATTTCCAGAAGAATCACTGTTCACGGGCAACATTGTACCAAAAAAGGGAAAAGGTTAGTGCACAAAAAAATTTTACTCCAATAGCGTGGGGCGGTCTCCCCTTTTTTCGTTTGGGGCGAGCCCACTACAGTGCCCAGGGACATTGGAATGTCCAGGCAAATGTGCCTGGACATGCGATGGTGTTTCCTATCTTCCCCCTCCAACCTGCGCCAGCTCCCCCACGGCGCAGGTTGTCCGCGGAGCGATCAGTCTGGTGTCAAAATTCGTTGACCCTGGGTTGACGCCCGCCTTACCTTCGCCTCATCTTCCTCACATTTTTCTTCCGCGTGGCTGCCGAACTGGGCCCAGAAGTATGTGCAGTGATATGCGGATTGGGGTCCACATGCCATTCCTATGAAATCACAGCCACTTTGGATGTCACTTTGATCAGCACTTAATGGCTTTGTTGTTGTCAAAACAAAGTACATTGCTCATCAGCCACTCACTTTTGCCTTCACATCACTCTCTCTCCTCTCCTCATCCTTTGTGTTCGTTAGGCACTAGGCAGAGCATTCATTCATCACTCGCCACCACTGAGTTGGCCAACGCAGTTTAGCGCTGAGCAGCATCTTCCCTTACATCGTTGAATCCCCAAATGCCAAGAACCTCGATGACCTCTCGTCCAGCAGCGCCGCCGGCAAGTTCAGCTCCGCTACGCGTGGCAAGTTAAGCTCCGCTACGCGTGGCAAATTAAGCTCTGCCACCTGTCCGTCTTCCAACAGCACGACCATGTGGCAGCCCACCATGGTGTGCAGGCGGTGAGCGAGGATAATCACCGTGCATGCAGCAACACGTCCCCCCTCACTGCCTGTGCCAAAACGTCCACTGCTGTTTCCTTGTTTGGTGTAGCCTCGTCAACACAAGCACATGTGAGCACCGCAGCAGTGTGCACTCAGGCACGACAGATTCCTCTGCCCCACACTCAAGTCTCTCTACCCAGCTCAGACTGAGCGGATGTGGCAATGCCCTCAGTTGCATACTGGCATCAAGACCTTGCAGAATTCCACATCCCCCCCCATATCCCTCCTCCATTTTCCTACCTCTCCAGTTTTCCCCACACTCCTTCACATCCTGTGCTCCGCTGCCACAAAAATGTAAAGATCAAGGTTCCACTTGATACTGCTGGAGCAGACCACTGGGTCTTGTGGCTCCAGAGGGAGGTGAGACCACAGGTCCCACAGCCTGATTCCTATCCTTCGCGCACTCCAAATATTCGATACAGTGCCATGGTTCGCGCTGCCTTTCCTCTGGCTTTGCAGGGGCGCACATCACCGTTCAATCACCTAATGAGATCAAGAAAGTGAGTTCTTTCCGCACAAAGAGCAACTCCAAGCGGTAACTCACCACCACTCTCCTTGCTTCTACCACCCCTCGTTGCGGCCAGTCTGCTGGCAACCGGTGAGTTCGACTGCATATGGAGCCCCAGCGGGTACAGTGATGTACTTCCAAGAATGGGCTCTCAAGGTGGGTACCGTAGGAGCAAGGAAAGAGAGTTTATGCATGCCAGAGACATGTGACATGGTGTCAATTGGCATAGTGCAATAATGGCAACATATGTTCGCTGCTACTGGCGGATATGAGGCATGTGAACAAGGTTCTAAGCTCCCCGATGCTGGTGGAGTGGCATGATGCAGCAGAGATGCACTGCTTCTTGAAGCACATGAGTGGAACCAGCCCCTTGCACAACCGATGTGCCTTGAGAGTGGAGGTGGAGGTGGGGAGAGAGGGAAGGGTTGGGGTACAATTCAGCTTGGTGGGGAATGTCATGATGGGGTGGGACGAGGCAAGATCGGTGGGGCGAGGCAAGGTTTGTGGGGCAAGTTAGCACGGAGTAGGTGAGGGTGTGTCAAAGCAATGGAATTGTGTATCGTTTTGGAGTAGAGTAGCGGCGGTCTGAGCTGAAGTGGCGGCCTGGGTACAACAGTGGCTGTTGCTGCTGCCAAGCGTATTGGGCGCTCTAAAGAGCAGCAGCGCGTTGCTGCTGTCACTACTCGCATAGCTAAGGCAACAGCAGGCTGCTGCTGCTGATTCTCGCTTGAATGGGGTCGGGAGGCGTGCTGGGCCACAAGTCAGGAGAACACGCAGGGTGGGAGCGTAGCCGGCACGAAGGGCGGTGGGGCAGCGCGACACGTGGGCCAGCTAGATAGTGCCCATGAAGTGACAGGGAAGAAAAGCACGCTAAGAAAAAGAAAAGAGCTCCAGCGCGCGTGTAACCGATCTACTAAGTAAAATGGCATTTACCCATATATCAATAGGTTCTAATACAACCAGAGAGTGGTAGCTTCTGGAAAATGACTAAGTCTGGAAGGTGCTGGGAGATGTAGTAACAAATCCTGGAGGGTGAGTTGAGAAGAAAGCAATCCTATTTCCCAATTGTGTTGTTGGGGATAGGAAGTGAAGAATGAGCTAGCTTGGCTCAGACCCCTCCCTAGACCCCCTTGGGGTGCAGCCACCTTCCCCATGGCAAGGAAGGGTGCACCACCATGGGCCTTGCCCATGTGGCAATGGTTGATCATGACATAGCACAAACAATGAGATAAACATGTTGTGTATGCAAAATGCTATCCAAACCTATCATGTTGCAATTCGTTGTAAATCCAAGGAAGAGTCGAGTTGGATTTTGGTTGGTTGTTTCTGATTGGTTCTATTTCCAACCAGCAGCGGAAGTTACGTCGACTCACTTTGTGTGAGTATGCTCTGATTGGTTGGGCAAGGGTGATGTTTGAACTTACATGGGTTGTTTTCAAACCTCTCGCGTAAGTTCTATCACAATTGTACAGCAGAGTTCTGATTGGTTAGTTTTCCAATCAAGTCAATTCCAAATTTCTCGCTTCCAATCAAACTCAAACCAATCATATTTCTCCCCTTGTTTCCCCCTCCCAGCTGGTTCGACGTATCAAGACCAGGCGGGGGTTGGGTCCGAATGTTACAGCGCGCTAGGGAACGAGGTCGCGATGCGTGCTAGGAATGGGGGCAGTGTGGCACACGAGGGAACGGAACGGAAACACGAAATTGAGCTAACTCAGTGAGTAGTAGCTAGGAACGAGGAGATGAAAGGATAGCGGAAGCAATCATTAAACGTATCGTCTGATACCCTGTTGAGAGGTGAAAATTTGACCAAGTACACAAAGTACAATTGCTATACCCTATAAAGCCTAACCCTAGACTAGCCTATCCAACGATCACACATTAACATAAACATATAGTTTGACAATGTGCACCTAAGCCTTGCAGAGCACCAATTTGTGCGTGTTCGCCAGTAGGTGGCTTCATGCCTGGAGGTGCCCATCCCTCAGGCCGGCTGAAACACTTGAACCATGGATGCCCAACTTCCTTGAAACACCTGCAAGCACCCTCCATTCTATTGCTCCCTCTGCTACAAAAGCTGCCATGTGCTTCATATCATCATCGGGTTCATATTATCTCCGGGTCGCATGGTAATAACTGATAACTCCTCAAACATGATTGCCAAGGAACGTGCTAAAGAAATATAAAAGTGACACACCCACAAAGTTCAAACTACAACGAGCACAACCACAAATATTAGGTAGAAACAAATGTTAGTGAGTTGTAAATGCAAATGATGGCATTACACAATATACGATTTTTTTTTTATTTTTTTACAAAGACATATATGCAAATACCAAAACACTAAGTTTCTTATGATTATTCATTTTCGGAACTCATGTTTAAAATCGTCTTCGTACTTCTCTTTAGTGCACTACACCCATCCATCCTTCTTTGGCCAGAGCTCTACTCGTTTTTTGGTGGCAGTGGGAACGCTAAAGCTTATGCACAGAATTGTCACAGCTCGTTTCACCACATTCTACACAAAACTATCTGCAGCACAGCCTTTGCCGTTAGAAGAACATCATCAGCAGCTGCTAGCTTTGTTGGATGCATCCTTGGTCCATCCCTCCCCAAATTCTCCTCAGATCCTGTTCTCTCCACCCTTATACCATTTCTCCAAGTCTCACTCCTCTCTGCCCTTTCCACTCCTCTGACTATTTCCTTCAGTTCACCACCCTCCCTTTGCACTACTATCATGAAACTTCCTCCCTCTTCTTAATCTGGTCAATGAAGCACTCCCCCTCATCCGAACTGCAAACGCCGCCAACACAACTGATTTCAC